ACTTTTGCATGCTTATGTCTGGTAATCTGAACAACTAGTTTGAAGACAACAATATATAATAACCACTATTGAATTCTTAATATCTTTTCATTATTATCCTTTTATTCTTTTTTTAAAAAAGAAAGAGTTCTTATTAGCATGTGATACTGAGTGAACTAAAACTGTTTTCTTCTGCTCTTCTCAACATTTTGGCTGAATACTTCAGAGTCATACATGAGTTCAGGTAGTTTAAGTCTGTTATATGTGGATCCTTCTCAACAGCCACAGTGAAAATTTTAGGGAGATGTACTTTTTGGATACCTTAAAGGTGCTATAGGTCCTTAATTCAAAGAAGAACATTTCTCATGCTTGTTCCTTGTAATTCATTTTAAATCTTAAGTTTAAGCTTTTTAAAAGTTAATTTTGAGAAATTAGACAGTACTAATGCTGTAGGAATTGGCAAGGCTTTGACTTAAAGCTTTCTTTGTAGTTTCTTCTGGGTATGTTTTGCTGAGTAAAACTTTTTACAGGAACATTACCCCCCCCCCCAAAAAAAAATAAAATAAAAACACGAAGTTCTTGGTAAATGTTCAAATATGTATTTAAAAAAAAGGTTTCAGTGAATGGCTACCAACTTCAACACAAGATATGAACATGTTGGATAATACTTTTGTTCTTCCATATTTTTTGTTCTACCCTTGTCCTTCTGTTCTCTGTCCTGGAAATGTAACCTATCTTGGCGTGTGTCCATAGGCTGCCTGCTTCAGGGTTCCTGGTTAGGCTTGCCCATCTGGAATACAAGCAAGAGTTCAGAGGACGTAGGAGAGTGATGCTGGAATAATACTCAGGGCCCTGTTCCTGCTAGCTGCCCTCAGTGGCTCAAAGAAAAACTCCTCTTGCACAACACCCTCCACTTATCTTGTCCTGGGTTTTGGTGACTGCTGCCTCTTCTTGTCCTTTTAGGTATAAGCATCCCTACAGTCTTGTTTTCCTTTACTTTGCTTGTACATTTGTAACATAGTGCCTAAACCGACTTTTATTTATTTAGTTTTTAAAAGGAATAATTATTTTTAGTATATGTACGTATGTATGTGTTGATA